CTCAACGTATTGATGGCAATGAATATCATATCCAAAGAGAAGAAAGAGAGAGAGAGAGAGAGAGATGGTAGGGAAGTGGTCGGCGGTTACCTTCATGGAGAAGTGTCGCAACCCTTTGCCAGTCTTGGGGTCCTGTTTGCGGCGCTTAATGGGAATGGTTTGCAACGAATCCATATTGTATTGATTGAATTGATTAGTCGCCGCTCCGACCAGTGATGCGAACGCGTTGTTGCGCGACATCGATGTCGGCGAGGAGTTGGCCAGAGATGTGTACTGAGAGCTGGACGTGTCGTCTGCGATGAACGACAGCACCGGCTGTTGGCTCTGAGGGGTTGTCTTCGAGTGCAGTATAGACGGCGTCTTAGCGGACGACTGGACGCCAGACACTGAGGACACGGTCTGAGGTGTGGTCACTGTATGGGCGGTCAGGACAACAGTTTTGGCCGTTAATGGCGTTGAAGGCAACCATTGAATGCTTACCGGAATTAGTATTGCTTTTGTTGTGCTGTTGTCCACTGTTTTGACACATTTTGGCCAAAATGAGTCCCGCGTTAACCGCCGACGAGTGACCGGCGGTCAGACCGACGGCAGACACCGACTGTCGGCCACCGGTAAGCGATTTACGCGCCGAACGAGGCATCGGTTCAAAGGGGACGGCGGGTCAGCACAGGTCCGCACAACTCAACGATTCAACGCCTGAAATGAAATGAATGGCAACAATGATAGCAAACCATTAGACATAGGCTTTCATACAATCAACGCATTCAACGCTTGTATTCATACAGTATTTAAACCACAATTAGTTTGCCTTTCAATCAGTGATGAAATGAGAAATGGATTTGAGTTTTAATTGCAATTAAAAAGCGATAAATGAATGCATTTTATGGCAAATAATGCGAAAATATGTCTGTTTTTTGGCTAAAGTGTTGAAACTGTTGTCGCAATTAATAATGCATTGAATGCCGCCTTTTAAGGCACTCTCACTCACATTCAAAGCGCATATCATTGCAAACACTTTGCGTACGTTTTATAGTCGTTAACGCTATGGATATCATGTGTTATAAAAGGGACCAAACATTTGGCCCTCAGTTATAGTGTTTCGCATAAATGAATCGCAAGAAAAAGAAGCGGTTATTACGTGAGTATAGATTACGTGCGATAAATGCAAACACAGTTAACATTGCGAATGAATGCCACGTGAATAACAGGGAGTGAGTTATGCTGTGTTGTAATTACTGGACATAATTAAAAGGCATTAAAATGTTTAAATCGCTAAAAGTTTTTTAAACTCAATCCCAAAAAGTTTTTGACGCCTAAAATAAGTGGCGAAAAGTTTGGCCACACTTTTGATTGCATGCAAATCGTGTAATGTATGGACAAATAAACGGCAAACGGATAGACATATGTATGTCAGCGTCGGATAAGTGGCCAAAACACGCGTTTATTGAGCGTTAGGTTTGGCAAAGACTTGTGGTGATAGTAGTGTTTGTGAGACGCGTGCCATTGGCTGCACAGTTGGTGTGCACTGAGTTTGGGGGCAAATACTTGCCTACAGACCAATCGTTGCGCTGAACTTCACCCATAAATTGGTGCAAATTTTTGGCGCATTTTCTGATTTTTTTTGTTTCAAAAAACTTTTAAATATTCATAATTTATAATTAATTGTAAATTGAATTTTGCGTAAAATTTGCACACATTTTGCGATATTTGAGAGGAAGTGGTGAATAGGAGTGGAAATGAGTTTATATTACTTGTTATTCAAGACTTGAGGCAGACTTTTGTGTGGCGTTAAGGAGTGCTCACATTGTCCTCACATTTCCCTCCATTTCCTGTTCTCTTCACTGCATATAAAACGATCCAATTTGGGAACAATGACCACATCTGAACTCATATTATCATAATATGACCATGCTCATGCTCATATATGCTCATATCACTATTACCATATCCATTATATAATACCACATTTATATAACTTGGTAATCATGATTTAGTTTAATTAAAATTTAGTCAAATATTTTTATTATAATATTTATTTATTTTTTAAAAAGTTTAATTATTCAGATATATTGAGAAATATTGCATTAATTCCTATACAATGTAAACTTTATAATAAACGAGAGAATTATTTAAATATTTAAAGCCTGTGAGATGTAAAATCACCATGATCATTCAATATGCTTTTAAATAACTAAATCTTGGTCTAAATTAAATGAGATTTAATATTAACTAATATTTAATTAATTAAAAATAATTTATAAAATTAGAAAATTGCATTCATAAAAATAAATATTTCAAAATAAAAACTATAATTGAGTTGTGAATAGATTTGTAAATAAATAGTAAATAGTGTTAAAAGTGAATGAATTGGTTGAGAGAGGAGTGGATCGCGAATGCAATGAATGAATGGCTTTCCTGTTCCTGAGATCGCACCACAAGAAGGTGTACAGAGACTGACAACACGTCTAACGTTCCCATCACTGCATTCTCTACCGATATGTTCACTACTTGTATACCAAAAGTATATACAATACTATCAAACACTATATAATAGCAAATAAGAACTCAATGATTGTTTAGTAGAGAGACGGCTATCGCGAGTGTGAGACAAGCGCTCATCACTTCATTCAATACTTTTTTACTACTTTTTTTCGACGAAAACATATTTCTAAATGTGTTTTGAATTTATTTTTTTCCCAAAAGTTTTCATTAATTCTGTAGTTTTGTGCTGAATATAAAGAATATTCTTTGGATTCTTTGTGGCGAACATAATAACTGAATAATATATAGACTAATATAAAGTGAATGTAATCTTCCAGTGTATCGATTCGTAAGATAAGAAAGCAGTGGTCGGTTAGAGGCGAGTGATTGTGAGAAATGCCGGCTTCAGGCCTAAGAGAACAGTCGGATGGCGAACACAACTGTCCGAAAGCATCCGACACTCAGCCCAACACAGAATCTCAAGAATCGACACAAGAATTGTCGCCAAATAATAAACATGATGTGAACGGAGAGCGCGATTCCGGCGATGGAGACGAGGATAAGTCGCAAACACCCCCTCCCTCTCCATCGCCGACTCAACCATCGGCTGACACGCCGTCACAGCCGACGGCGCCGTTGAATTCGCCGCAACAGTCGAGTGCCCCTCAAACCCAAACCCAAACCCCATCCCAACCCCCAAAACGGAGTATTAGTGGCCAAGAAGTACATCAAATGCAAACCCAGTCCTCATATTTGATGCGATTTTCATCGCATTTGCGAATAAAGTCACGTCTGGTTTGCTGTATATATTTTATTACAACATTTTTATCACTATTTATATTAGTATTGATCGCAATCATCATATTCTTGTATTGGAAGCCAATAACTCCTGCAATAATTATTGACCAAAACATTGGACAACAAAAAGGTATTGATTTTACGGATCAAATAAAACAAAACAAATGATAACAAAAACAAAGAAAAGACTGAATCCAAACCCAAACCTAAGATCCAAACCCTGAAAATGAAGAAAACATTAAACAAATAGTTTTTAGTTGAAGAAGAATTAGTTGTCTATCAAACATGTAATGAAAACCAGGTTTTCATTGTAACTATAGTTATAGAGACTCATAGAAATTGTTGTTTCATTTCTCTCTCAAAACATTTATAACCAATTTTATACAATTCTTTCCATTCCTTATAGGAATTGATTATTTAATACTAGTTTTTTGATAAGTGATGACAAATATTGAATCGTTTTCTGTTAAATGCAATTTTATGTGTGAGAAAAATATTTGATTTTTACCATTCTTTCAACTCTCTCTCTCTCTCTCTCTCTCTCTCTCTCTCGTCAGGTGTATTATCTCTTCACTATATTCTTCTTCTCACAGGAG